CCAACATCTTCCTCGTTTTAGGGTTCACGTTGTGGAGTGTAGGAAAAAGCAACTGCTTCAAAAGTATGACAGGACGACAACAGGGTTCTGCCAATCCCAACACCCATAATCAAGACCTGGTAGCTGTCACGCGACAATTCTGGGGTCCTGATTTTGGGGAGTCGGGAAAGGCCAAATCGTCCCTAATAGAAAAATCCACAAAGAAAGGGGAAGGCCTTGTTCCTGCGGAAGTAGTTTGTCTTCTCAGTTATTCCAAGCAGTCCCTTTATGGTCCTCATATATCCCTGGGTACTCCAAGTTTGAGAAGCCACCATGTATTTCTATAGCTTCGGACGGATTATAAGAACACACTAATGAGAACTCTACAAGCTTCCACCTTAAAGCCTAATCCGTCCTACACATGTCTTAGGGCATCAGGGGCAGTTCAATCTCTGATCCCATGCCAGGGTGAGTAGCCAAAGACTTTGGTCCCATTCATGCCGACTCCCACAAAAAAAAGAAGAAGGTAGGGTTTAGTTTTGGGTTTAGGGTTTAGGTAGCACTACCAGGACACCAGAAGGGGACTGTTTCGATGATGCTTTTAACCTGCCTGGCCAAACGGCATTTCCGTTTTGGGAAAAAGGAAGTCTAAGCAAAGCACGCAAACTCCAAACCCTTATACCCCTCATTCGTGATCAGTTTTCACCCCAGTACATGATAGAATTATGTACAGAATGCGTACACGTGTATAATATATATATATATAGATATAGATATATATGTGTGTGTGTACACGTGCACTTTAACAAGAATCTTCCCCAACCTGCAGCCTGCAGCCTCGATTTGCAGGAGATTAATATCGACCACTGGCTGCAAGTTCTCGGCTTGCGAGCACAAGAGGCTCCTTTTAGGACTTTGTAGGGTCTACTCGGAGTTCATAGGTTAATAATCGGAATGACCGTTGCTACTCTAGTGCTTCTGAGTTCAAATGCCTTTCTCTACATCCCCTAAACCCCTCATGTAGGGTCTCGGGACTGCGGGGTTCTTGGGTGGTGTCTTGGGCTTCGGGGTTGTGTTTGGTTGTTGGGTTTGAGGGGTTTGGGTTTGGGTATTTGGAGAGAAAAAAGTTTCAGGCTTTTGGGGCCCGGGGATGGATGGGGATAACCACGGGCGATAGTTCCGACACGACGTCCAATGATTTTCCTGGATAGTGACCTACTAACAAGGTAGACCCACCTGCTAAGTACCCGCAGACAAAACTGCTGTTGCACAAGTAAAGCTCCCATGCGGGACGTATTTGAGCAAAAGTAAAAACAGCAAGTATAAGGACCCATCGCGGATCCTCGTTGTCACTTCAATAACTAGATTTTCTCCAGAAAAAGCTGTACCTCGATCACTTCCTAGCTTGCTCTCCTTTCGAAATCATCCGGGCCCGCTCAACAGGTGAATTGCGGTACGGCTGGTAGTATGTTCCAAGCTTTACAGGCGTAAAGGAGGGGACAGGTTTGCAGATTGTGGCTTGGGTGAACAAATCCCATAACAACACCAAAGCTGCCATTTTACGTTCCACTGCAGGCCCAAAATCCCTCTGATCAGCTTACAAGTTGCAAGCTGTATCGTCTTTGAACCTTTGGACAAGCTGATCATCCCATATTACAGGCAGCTACCGGAGAGGATTCGGCCATGCGAGAAACAGAAAGGACCCCAGGGTGGTGAGCTCTAGCTCCATGTGTTGGCGTATAGGGTAGCAACGCAAGCTACTGTACAACAGTCCAATTATCGGACTATACCCTAAAGATCCAGATCGCCCAATGTAGGTAATATTCAAAGACTTTAGGGCCCGATGTAGGTGTGACTTGTATACTTGGATACCTAGTGGCTAGGCTATGTGCTTATTGCATGGACTGTCATCCTGTGGCTCTGGGTTTGTGGCTGAGCTTCAGGCAGTTGATTGCCATACTCCACTTCCCGTGGGAGTGTGGAAGAGGGGCAGGCGTATTTCTGTCTCTGCTTTGTCGTAGCGGCTAAAGGAACCTCACCGTCATGCCCTTAGATGACTCCGGAAACGAGCCTGGAGAGCCACTAGTACTTTGATCATCATCCGGGCATCGAACACAGCTACGCGCTCATGTTTATAAATCCGGCCTTTGCTCGTAGATTTGACGTGTGTGTGTGTGTGTGTGTGTTGTTCGCATCGTGGTTCCAGCAGGCTCCATTTGTCGCTGACTTTTAAAGGCCTGGGACCACTCGACCCCTACACCAAAATAGTTGTTGTGTCATGAGATCACCCAGACTGCACTCAACCCTAAACTGGGTTGCTGCTAATGAGCTTAATTTAAGTTGCTATATCGGGGGAACTCTATTACCCAGTCAATATATCTTTAACAATACATATATACATATACCCATTATGGGAACTTAAATTTAGTTCCTTAACAGCAACCCAGTTAACCCCCCTGGGCAGGAGTCTTGTGGAAGAGGCCTCCAGCAAGCAGGACAGGTTTCCTCCACTTGGAGGGTCATGCGGGCTTAGTAAGTAGGTGAGTGGTTAGCACAACTAGGGTTCCTGTATGGGTTATAGGATAACAAGGGTTACTATATGGGTTACTGTCTACACTCCTAGTATCCCCCTTAATATACCCTAAAGTAGTCCCCTATATAATCCCCCATATAACCCCCATTAAGGAGTTTAGATTATAGTTCATATGGGTTATAGGTGTTCTTTACCTACTTTCTAAGTCCCCTTGACCCTTCAAGCGATGTTGATCAGCGCGCACGGACAGCAAGTTTCGTGTACTGGCTCCCGTTCACCCAGGAGCTCCTTTGTTGGGCCAGTCTGCTGCCTATATAAACCCTTATGGGAGCCCTAAAGGCTACCTACATACTCCATATAGAACCTGTGTACAGTCCTTGTATAATCCCCATCTCCCCCTTTAAAATCATTGTATACTCCCTTGATAAGCTGTATAGAGCCCAATCTGCAGCAAGGACCACGACTTCTTCCGGAGGGTCTTTGCGCTGCATTCGGCTCAGAATGTTGGGGTTAAGGCAGCGATTGGGGTAGAGGAGCGCTTTGGGATACCTAGGGGTTAGGGTTGAAGTTTGTTGAGGGTCTAGAGTTGAGGGTCTGGGTTTAGGGTGTAGAGCTTAGGCCCGAAGTCTCAGAACAGTACATTCATCGAGCCGTAAAGTCTGTAGATATTCCTTACATTGAGCTATTTAGAGCCCTAGTGATATAGGTTTGCCTGACAAGTCCGCGTGGATATTCAGTAAATTCTTAGGACCCAAAAAGCTTCGCACATAGTTACCTTCAAATTTGGTATCCAAGGGATCCCTATCTAGCTGCATGGACCCTGTGGAATGTAAGAACCCTGCATAAGATCTGGACAATCTCTACTTTGCTTTTCCTGGTGTACCCAGGAAGGATGAACCATGGATTTTTTGCAGCCGGCAGCACGGCACCTAACTGACATGACTCTAGCCTCTTTAGCCGTGACCTTAGAGGTTAGGGTTTAAGGTTTAGGATTTAGGATTTCGGGTGTAGGTTTTGGGGTTTAAGGTTTAGGGTTGTATCAATCAGGACCTATCCCCTCACCTTGGGGACAGGAGGAATAGAGGATGGCACAAGAGAGAAAAAAGTCTCTGCACATGTACGGGCGCACTGCCAACATCAGCAAACTTGCACTGCACCCCTGAGCCATCCCAATCTAGAGGGGCCTAAGTGCTCACAAATACGTTCGGGTCCTAGATGCTCAGTATATTTTGTGTACCGGGTGCCTCAAATAGGACTCAAAAGATCTATTCCCCTGAGCCCTAAACCCCTAATCCCCTAAACCCTCAAACTCCTAAACCCTAAATCCCCTACACCCTAAAACTCCTAAACCCTAAATCCCCTAAACCCCCAAAACTCCCAAACCCTAGACCCCTAACTCCCTTAACCCTAAAATCCTGAAACTCCCAATATAACCCCAATATAATCCCTATGTAATCCCTACAACCCCTGTAGTTTCCATTTTCTTTTCCATTATTCCCTATATTATAACTCCTAAATCCCCAAACCCTAAACCCTGAAACCCGTAACCCTCAAATCCTGAAACCCGTAAACCCTAAACCCTAAACCCCCGAAACCCTAAACTCTAAATCCTAAATCCTCAAAACTTCAGGCTGGGTTCGTCGATTTCCGAGAATCCCGAGGCCTTGGAGCCCACCACTGCAAGAACTAAACCTCTAACCCCAAATACAATAAGGTTTAGGGACTTAGAGATTTAGGGTTTTAGGGATATAGGGTTTATGGTTTAGGGATTAGGGACATAGGGTTTACGGTTGTAGGGATGTAGGGATGTAGGGTTTTAGGGCTTAGGGTTTTTAGGGTTTAGGGTAGTAGCACCCAATTAGCAAGGACAAGCCATACAACTATAGGTAATTGGGGCTATCGGCTCACTTTGGAGTTTAGGGTTTGGCGATTAATTGCTGGATCAAGATTGTCGACAGTTTCCTATAATCCCGTAATCCGCTGAACTTCTATTTCATGTTCTCTTTGATTCTCTGTTAGTTGCGTAAATTCCTCTCTGGATCATTTTAGTAGACCCTATATAAATTTCAATTTTAGTCGCGTCCTTTTACGTTGTCATGCTCTTCTGCACTTGTTTCTCCGTAATCATATCCTACCCCCAATGTACTATAGCAGTTTCCATTTTATCTTCCGTTAGCCCAGTATTACCCATATATACATATATATATATATATGTGTGTGTGTGTGTATGTAACCAGGGTATTAACTCTGCGAAAGGTCCCCGAGGGTTCAGGCCGCTCTGCGAGTTTCTGTCTCAGCTTTCCTGACGGCATGTGGTTCAGGATTTCGAGATCACCTACCATTGCAGCAAACATTGGTAAGCCAAGCGTTTAGGTTAAGAACTCTGAGTCTGCTTCGTTTCAAGACGAAGATAGCCAGATATCACTTTCAGCCAAGCGATCCATCAAACACACAGGAGCTTCTGGCACCCACAGGTCTGGGGGATACCATGGAGTTTGTGCAGAAGGCTGTTCGCACTGGGAAGTATCAGGGTGCAGATGGCCAAGCTTTTTCGCTGAACCGGAAGATGCTCAGTGCCTCCCTGAAAGGCGCAGTGATGCTACTAACAGTGCCAGCTCCAAGCGGTTCATATGCGCCCAGGAAGACCGAGGGACTTAGTCTGGAGGTGGTAGCCGAGGACACCCTGGAAGCTGGGTTGTTGTTGAATAGCATGTTGAGCAACTGTCTGTATACTTGAACCCAATGTACGAAACTAAAGCGGCTAACCCTAAGGTCCATGTATCCAATAATTCGGTACTTGGGATATTGGTAATAGTAATTATAGTACGGATTTTGGGTAAGTATATAATTATTGGGTACTTGGACCCTTATAAGGTAACTTCAACAGTGCCTGAAAACCATCCCAGGAAGCTGTCCAGCACTTGGCCACGGAGGGACTCGTCAATCCCGCTGTCTTGGTGTTTGCCAGTGACACAAACCCGGGTGGAAGCCGAAAGGCCGCCAACGTTGGCACGCAAGAAGAAGCCCTGTGCAGGCAATCCACCTTAAGGCTTGGACAGGAGCAACTGACCTATCCCATTCCAACTCTTGGTGTGGCATATGTACCTCAAGTTCAAGGGCTGCTGCCCTCGGGCATTGTAGTTTTTGGGGGAATTTGTGCGGCTTTGCGTCAGTGCTTGGCTTCTGAAAGCCCCACTGCCAAGGAGACTGAGTTCTTGGAGGCTAAAGTGGCCAGCGTGCTTGGGACCGCTGTGGCCTTTGGACACCGCAATCTTGTGCTGGGCGCTTGGGGTTGCGGAGCCTTCGGCAACCCCCCAGAGGTGGTCTCAGGGGCTTTTGCCTCAGTACTCCGCTCAGCGGCGTTTGAAGGTGCCTTTGACCGCGTGGTTTTCGCCATTCCCAACGACCAGCTCCGTCGCACCTTCCAGGTTGCTTTCGAGTAACCGAGGAGCCCATGGATATTCTCCGGCATACCACAGGATGCTGCGCGGAAAGCACGTTAAGTTTTCGACTTCTCCGCAGCTCTGGTCTTGCATGCTACACGTGAGGTGGCTCACTGAAACGTGACTCGAGCCGCTCGGTCTTGGTACGCCCTGGGCCTCAAGCACATTCGGCCCAGCTCCATGCTGCAAAGGCTTGTTCCCTTGCAGATCGTCTCTCGGTTTTCTGGTCTTATTGCCATTCACATGGCCTGGAATTATGCTTCACGCAGTAGATGATCAGCCACTACAAGATGATCCCAGACAGCACTTCTTCTCAAAGTTCCTGCTGATTGCAAACGCGGCATCGATGATTTCTGTGAGCTTCTCCGAGAAATCGTAGACTTGGACCTACGCAAGAAAAGCATATGCAACTACTGGTACCCCTTCATGGCTACAGCTTTCCGAAAATCAATAGCGCTATGCCATTAAAACATGCATCCTATCTTACACGGCTTCATGGAGCCTACCTCAATTTCCCATCATGATCATGAAGGCCCCAAGCTTGTTGAGCAATGGCTGTCAGTATGTAACAGTTCCTGTAGTCTACAAAGAATTCGCAGATAGGCCTCCTTTGGCTAGTTGATGTATACCTAAGCCCCAAAAGTATATAAAATGATAGCCCTAAACCCATAATAACAGCCATAAAGGCAATTATTTTACATACTTTTAGGGTCCAGGTACAGGTTGTGTTCAAGATTTGTTCCAATACGGTGAGTTAATCGGTTTGCGTGCAGGTTCTCGATCAGCTGAAGCAAGTACCACTGGTGCCTGATGCAGCAGGCTCGACGCTACATCGAACTATGCATTCAAGGGTTTCGGAGAAGCACCACGTAAAGTAAACATTGATTTCGCCTAGTTCCGCGGTTTTGCGTGTACTTCCTGGAGCTCCAAGAATAAGCTTGGAAATCAGGAGCAGAAAGATAACCAAAGCCTATGGATGTTAACTCCGACACAAGAGGGAAGTTTTCTCGCTATGTCATGGCCGTACACTGGCAAGGAAGCACTACTTGGAGGGTCAGGGGGACTTTTGAAGTAGGTTAATAATCCCTCTATCCCATACAGTAGCCCTAGCTATCCTAATTATTCACCTACTTTCTAAGTCCCCATGACCCTCCAAGTAGCCCAGCTACCGGAAAGGCCGTACAACCTTTCTACCAAGGTATACGCACAGGACAGATCTTTCTGAAACTGTTTTGAAAGAATGCTTGTGAGCCTTAACATTATAACAGATTATAGCATGCATACAATACAGAATTATTCATTAGAATCTGCAGATAATACATTATTAGATGCTGTAACTTCCTGATAAGCTGTTTTGTATACAACCCTCAATCCCTAAACCCAAAACCCTAAACCTGTAAATAATGTACGAATGATCATTGAGCTTAGCTCCGCCTGATGCGTTGACGTGCAGGCCATGCCCTCCGCATTGCAGCTGGGTGGGGCCCACAATGCGGAGCTGAACATCTGATTCAGGGTTTAAGGGGTTCGATTTTTTAGGGTTCAGGGCTTAAAGGGTTTAATGCAGGTTTTAAGGTCTATAGGGTTTAAGGGGTTTAAGGTTTTAGGCTTTCGGGTTTAGGGCTTCAGGGTTCAGGGGGTTCTTCCCCTTGGTCCCAGATATGCTATAATTCCATTTTGCTTCTCAGACTTATACTACATCTTGCCGACACGAGGGGTAGACACCGACACAAAAATCTGAAGGTGTTGATTCTACAATTCGCCTTGGAAGCTGTCGGTTGTAATCCAACTGTAAAGTGTTGCTTACATGTAACCCTAGGGACCGAAGTATACAAACAATGCCTAAATTGGGCCCTAAAGTCCAGTGAGATTACCTACAGTGGGCTATTTGGAACCGCAGGGTAACAGAGAATTTAGAGCAATATTTTGCCCGCCCACGATTGAGGGTTCTTTAACAGAACAACTTTTGATGCCACAAAGCCTTGTTGGGATTACCAGAACAACATGCCCGCAAAAGACATACTAGGGTGCAGGGTGCATAGCACGGCCCAGTAATGCAACAAGGAGCACTGGCCGAAGTTCTCTAAGCCGACATGGGCCCCTAAAAACGCGCCGCAAACACTGAGAGCTTGTTGAAATGGATATCTTTCGCGCCCCGTGCGTGCGTCCAAGGGGTTGTACGTACCCTGAGCTCCCCACCCCTACACCCACAGGTGACCCTGAACAATAAGCCTAAAACCTGAAGCTGCGACTCATCCTTATTCGAGCCCTCTCGATTCTCTGCTGATATTGTGCTTGTTGACATAGTGATTGCTTTTTGTATGCTTGCTGGTATTATTGTTGTTCTGCTGTTTTGTGCTTCGCTTCTACTCGTATCATGATGATGATCAGGGTTCGGAGTAATTAGGACTCGCGGGACTGCTACTAGTCTCCCCCAAACTAAATTGGAATCCCTACCGCCGTCACATGGGTCCTGAACCGTACTTTTAAAAAGGGGCTTTCTGGGCCTTCATGCTAGTGTGGGCAGGGTAACTTGTGAGCCTCTATGGTCCTGGCCTTTCCGCATTGCCCCCAAGCCCGTGACCCTGCTTAAACCCTAAGTTGCATGAAGCACAGAACCCTGAACACCAAGCCATGAACCCTGGACTGCACACCTTGACTCTAAGCCTTCTAGAGCCATCCTGGTCTTTCATCCCTAACAATCACGTCTTAACAAACCTTCAAATCCAACAACTCAAGGCCAAATTAAGCTGTAAGGCCGATCCTGTCCAATCACGCGGGCGACGTCCCTTTAGAGTGGCAGAAGGCACTGGAGGCGGGATCAGTGCGCCGAAGCATCTCCTCCAAGGCTTTGGGGTTTAGGTTTCAGCTTTTAGGCTTTAGGACCTCTAAAAGACTCTAGAAACACTCATTTTGGCAGCTTCCCTAAATAGTGGGACCCCAATATAGGCCGCAAATCACAGGGACCCCAAAAAGCTACTCTTACTGTTGGGAATCTCCCTTTTGTGTATATGTACCCCTGGAAGCCGAGTAACCTGTGTGTATCTATCTAACTCAGGAACCTACTATGCAGGTAAGTGGGCTTCTAGGCTATTTGTATATGGGGAAGACTTGTTATTAAGAGTGGGGCTTATGTTCTTGGGGAGGGCGGATTGGCACTTATACTTGTATTTTGGAAACGGATTTGCCTCACCCGTGTTGTATCTAGTTGTTTTATGAACTCAGCAGTTGATATTCATGTGGCTTCCATCATGAGCTTTCACTAGTATGGCTCTGCTTGTCTTGGTTGCTGATGCTCGTGCTGACACATGCAAGGACTCAGAGAGTAGGGTTAGTGATGAAGCACAGCCCATCAAGATAGATTAAGGGAGCACGTATAGTGTTATTATAGGATACACTAGTTAGGACTATAGGGTTTCTGAGGAATAAGATTACCTACGCTCGTTTTGGTTGCTGCAGGGAAGTGCGTGAGCATAACATTCGCAGATCTTGAGCGCATGGGGGTTTCAAAGTGCCCGCAATGTTATCAGACACATCTCAAGGTTTTTAGAAACATAAACCTAAGAACTTTAGGGTTTAGGGTTTGGGATTTTGGGCTTGGGGTTTGGAATAAGCCCTTAAAGGGCCCAAAAGTCAGGCCGCAGGCGCCCTGCGCGTCTTATCGCCTGCAGTACATGGTGCTCTCTGCCCTGTCGGCCAACGTCTGCTTCGACAGCTGGGCCTCTCACATGCACTTAGAGTCCCTCACCCCCACAGAACCCTAGGTAGCTAAGCCCAAAAAACCTGTTACATAATCCTTATATCCAATTATAAACCCTTTCAAGCGTGGACAGAGGGCAAAAGGACATTCTAGAGTGATTGTGTTCCATTCCCCAGGGGCCCTAGCCCTCATAGTACCCTCAATTGGAGTTAAAGCGTTCCAAACTCATGCCTACACAGAGGGTAGTTGGATGGTCTAGGTTTATGGGGTTGGTTTTGTGTCATGTCCGTTTGGGGAAGGCTAGGCGTGCAGCTACAGCAGGTCTGAATTGAAAGCTCATGTCGACTATTGGCGCAGTGTTCGCTTGTGCAATTTGGTTTGCTTGGAAATGTGTCCCTTTGGTGGTAGCAAAGGTCCAGAGTCTTACCATATTGGTATCTCGCGGCTACGCCTGAGAGTTTCCAAGGTTTGGGTAGGTCCTTCTTGATGATGTCCAGTCATAGGGAAAGCCTTGCACTCTTCCTGCACCCGTGATGCCTTCTTGAATATCCATTAAGGAGTTCATGCATTTTGATTTGGAGCGCTTTTTTTTAAAGAAAATTGCTGGTAGCTGTGTCCTGCCTTAATCAGCCCGTACAAAGGCGTGATGAGGTCCGGAACCCAGAACTTTCTGTCCAAACAAAGACAGTTTCAGGAGTGGAACGCATGTTAAGGTGTGAGGTTTAAGTTTAAGGTTCAGGGTCTTGGGGAACCCTGCACCCTACGCCTACCCGGTATCTATTCACTGGGAACTGTCCTTTGGTTGAAGTGCTTCCAGGGCTCTGCAACTTGAAAGCTCTCATGTGTCATGGTATGTTCCTGGCCCTTTGCATTCAATATATGGGGGTTGTTTTAAAATTTCCTGAAGGTCTCTGTAAGGGAGGGACCATTGGGAATACAATTCCTTGAAAGGAGATCTAACCAGAAAGAGAACCAATCTCGTGGCGATTTTAGGGACAGGTATTTATAACAAGTACCACATATCTTTCCTGCAATTATTGCAGCAAAGCCGACAATCATGGTTTGAGCGAAGAGCTCTTGCCCTTGCTGTGGCCTTATGATCCCTGTGGCTCCACCTAGCTCAATGTAGGTAGTAGTTATAGACTTTTGGTCCCAATGTATGTTACCTTAGAGACTTAGAGCGTCAGGAAAATGGTTTGTCAGTCATCCCCATAGTACATCAGGATTGTTCTTGGTGGCGCCCTCGTTACCGCAACTCTCCCAATTCGTGGCATTCCAGTCCCCTTTATGGCAAATCTAC